TTTTGCCAGGGAGACAGTAATCTGCGTGAGGAACAAGAACACAGACAGTATCTTCACCATGAACTGTATAACAGAAAGTAAATTTGTTGACAATATGAGAACTTGAACCTTGGAAACGATGCTTAAGAAACTAGAAAAGCCTAAATCCATACCCTAAAAGGAAAATCAAAAGAGATCAAGCTAACAATAAGCATTAAACAGAAAAACATGTATAATTTAGTAGAAATCAAGCTAAAAAATGGCTAGTAAGAGAATGAATTTAAAGTTTACTTCCCCTTATGATTCTCTTAGCGTTTCGATTCAGCAAGCCCTTCCTTTAGACCCTTCATTCTTGAAAAAAACATCCTGATCGTCCTAATCGATATTTCCCTAATATTCAGGATCAACCAGCTTGCCATGGGAAAAATCAAATTGTAATTTTTCAGGAAAAATCAATTTGATTTGTTCTGCTAAATATGATACCTAAGCCCATTTTATGTTCATGAGAAAGACATAATCTTAAGGTTTCGTAGTATAAATTAAAGCAAACAGAAAAAATACATACCTTCAGGGAAAATTCAACGTGTGCATGTCTGATTGTTAGCGATGAGTTTACGTCTCTCATAGTTAACCTTCACACATTAGACAAGATAAAAAAAAGTTATACAAGTAAAATCCAAAAGAGAGAAACCACTATACAAGGGAAATTTTTTACCTAGCAGGTCACTTTATCCCCCATTGATACATCTCCAGTTTCATTAGAGAGATGGTGAATATGCAGACCAAAATCCGGCAAGCTGCTTGCGCATAAAAAGACTTATTTTGAAGCACGATCATTAACACTATTACGCACTAGCTTCTTTCTTTCTACAACAAAAGAATAACGGTTTAGATTCAACATCTGAGTTATCAAGATAAATAGGGCAAAGAAATCACATGTTGCTGACACGCTAGTTTTGATGTAGTAACACCAGCCTTCTGCGAAACAAAAATGGTGTCAACATATTTGTACGTAGATAACTGTAATTTATGTTAGTGTAAAAAAAAAAAGTAAAGGGAGAGAGAAACGTTGGAACAAATTTGGCTTGGCACAGGGTACCCTATGATCTTGACTTTGTTTCTATCTCGGCTTTTCTGAAACAATAAACGAACCACCAATCCAATCTCTTCAGCCATTAACTGAAACAAGAGAATCAAAGTGAAGTGAGTGATGAAAAAAATATGAAAAACACGCAACAAGACATGAGGAGAAATTATAATTGGTTGAAATAATGAAGTCAACCATCTACTATGTAAGAAAATTGTGATAAGATGCAACGTAATAAGAAAAAATATAATATAGTACCTTCTTGACAGTATTTTTCACAATGAGAAACTATCTAAAATTTAAATCAAGTAAAAGTTACTCTAAGGTCTAAACAATTATCAGCAAAAAACAGACGAAACCGGAAGACCATCAGAAGAAAGAGATAAGGAAATTGTCGCTCGAGTCAACCAATTAGGAACGAAAAATTATTCTGTGTTAAAACACACACGAACTTGCAGAAAAAGCATTACCACAAAAGGGCAACTTCTTATCGTGTCCTGTAAAATCTTAACATAATATCATATATTAGTTACCTGATGATGGAGAACACTGGTCAGTATTTAGCTTGTCTACCGCATCCATCTCCAGAATGTTTAAGTCCTCAACTGAACCATTTTTAGAGCGATGAAAAAATAAAACCTGTTAAAAGAAGAAATAATGAACATCAGAGACGTGATAAAGGTGAAAGGAACAGAAACTAATTGAGTAAAAAAGGTTCAAGGAACTTATTTGAATGTGTTAACCAAGTGACTCATGTCAAAGTACTCCTTCCTGTTTTCAAAAGAATTTCAGCTCATATTGCAACCAAATAAATATCCAGTAGTAATAAGTTTCAACAGCTATTAGTCCAAGGATTGAATAACTAAATGGAGGAAAACTCTATAGAAAAGCTCGACTTACTTGGCTGATGAAAAAAGGGTCACAAGTTTCAAATCATCACAAAGACCGTGTAGTGTAGTCTGCATGTCTATATGGATGGCATAACATGTAATAGAAAAAGACATCTTAGTTAAAATTTACATATTACAGAAACAAAACCTCGGGATCTCCCTGAAGCTCATCCGCATTGATGACTGCTGGTGGTATTCCCATCTGACAGAGATCACTGTATATCGACACTAATTCCCCCAAGCCTAATTCCAGAAACAGAGAAGAGCATTAGTTGAAACGTTGGCTAAAGTTGAGAACCAGTGTTTGATGAGAAAATCTGACCAGTATTTTAACAGGATTTCTTATCAATATGAAATGCTTTCCTTTATTCATCAGTTCACTTGGCAAACCGAAAAACCTGTTCAGAGCTCAGACAGAACAACACACTATCTTTTTTTAAAAGAAAAGAGACAACAAAGAAAATTTGATAATATTAACTTTGAAGCTTAAAAATCAAGCAATCTGAGACTTCTTACCTTACAATACCGGTATTTCTTCGATCCTGATCCAAGAGACCAAGTGAAGTGAGTGATATGAAACCTAAAACAAAACACAAGCCAAAACTCCAATTCTCTGATTTTGTAATTGTTAGATATCCTGCACACAAAAAAGTGTCACATGCATCAGTAAGAAAATGTAAAATTGCAATTCTACATTCTTACTTTTCTTTCTCCAAAACTTAACCATGTCTCATTGTGCTGAAGAATATTTTTTTAAGCACTTGCATACCTTCAACGCCACTTAATGCCACCACCAATATCAGCCTCTTGAATCATTCCAACATCATTTTCACCATCACCATTCCCAAAGTCGTTTTTCCTGTTCCTTCTTTGGCTAGCTGTGTTACCTAGAAAAATATATTTTTAGAGTTGTGGAGTTATTTATACAAGTGCTTTCGGTCAGGGAGAGACACGACAACAGATCACTGATGCACAGTCAACTACAACGGCAAGAAACCCTATGTTTATCGCTGTCTCCAACTTAACTCCTGTCAAACCCCATATCTTGAGACCAGCTTAGGCAAGTTTATCTATGCCTTGAGGCACCTGAAGTGAACTCAAACAGTATGTTGAAAAGGATTTTCGAAAAGGCCCGTCTTTGTAATAATCACAATTAACTATGATTCTTACCCTTGTTTGTACTTACAGATATATACACCTTTTCACTCATATGCTTCAATAGGCCAATACTGGTAAAGAACTTACCCTCTTTGTGATGCCTAAGTTGTTAATTCTGGTGTTCGTGGAGGTGATTTTGATGATATAAAGCTTCAGCGTCTTGACCTCCACTTGAACTGTCTCGGCTCTGTAGTTAAAGCAAAGAGCGTGTAAGTCAACAGATCAAGAACATGGGACACTAGTAGTTGTGATTTGCTAAACATGTCATAGTAAAAAGAACTAGCAATAGCTGCAAAGCAGTAAGCACAAGCAATTAAATCTGAAGACCATCATTGAGCAAAAAACGACAAAACCTGAAGACCATCAAAAGAAAGCCGCCTCTCGAGTCAACCAATTAGGAATCAGAAAGTATCATACAGGTCTCACCTCCAGCATGAATTGATTCTGAATTAAACCCACACAAACTTGCAGAACAAGCATGTTAACTTTGGTCCAAAAAACCAAGGCTGAGACAAATTCAGAGAGTAAATTAGGTAAGAGATATAGAAACTTATCTAATCTAGACTGTGATCGCTCCCTTGCAAGCAAACAGCAGTTTTATCCAACCTTGGAACTGATGAAGCCCGCGAGATGATAAAGCCAACACACGAGACTAAGCCAGAACCCCAATGTGATCTCTAGTAAGAATTAAGAGTTTTGAATAAACAGAAAAACAGTTAGCACTAAGAAATAATGGGGAACGATCTAAAAGCAACTTCTTTTGCGTCTTCCACATACTTGTAATATTAATAAGTAATTTAAATAAAAAGTTAATCCTCCAACAAGAATATGTGACTATGATTTAGACTCTAAGAAAACGTTTAGTCAAATGGCATAAACAACCCTAGAGATTCAGGAAACTACAGATAGAAAACCCACATGCATAAACAAGAGCCGAAGAAACTGATCTATACATAATCAAGTAATATCAACCAAAATCAACCAAAAACAAAATCAATAACATAAACCTTGAGAAAGAAGTAGCCAAACCCTTAAATACCTGACCAAAAATGGTTTTCCTGAAGAACTCATAGATGATGAAAAACTAAAAGCCTCACAAGATTACGATGTTGAAGTTTCGCAACAAACGAGACTTCGTTTACGAACTCATTGTCTCCTTGTCCTGATTTCATTGACAGTCTTCACAGCTCTCTTCCCCAGAATAAAGAACACCCTGGTGATTATTGAAACACATGTTATGAGATTAAATCATCCAAAAAACGTCTAACTAAGATCATAAACATAAGAAACACTTATCAACCTTATAAACTGCACCAGATCCACCTTCACCAAGCACCAAGATGGTTGTTTGGAGAGAAGTCATTAGTTGCTAATCTTATGGTGTCAAAGTAAAGTTGCAATAATTGTGCATCTTTAGTTTTATGGTCTTCGACATCTTTGCTTGATCCTAAAGCAATAAAAGCAAAAGGGTGTTTAAAGTTAAAACTCTCCAAAAAATAGTTTTAACCAAAAGATTTGACTTTTTGAATAAACGTTTTACCTTCAAGTCTCTGTTTTGCTTTCTTCTATTCATGTCAACAAGAAGAAAAACAACATCTAAGTCGATGACAGTCAGGTTCTGGCAGCTTCCCCTCAGTTTAAATGTAAATCTATCCTCCTCTATAAATGCATAGCTTCCTCAATTTTAATTAGTCTACTGGTCATTTTAACAAATGAGATATAATCTCTAACTTCATTCTGTATAAATGTGCTGAAAACAGAGTTGGCATGTGACGAAACTACATAATTTAATTGCTATTAAATGAGTACGTTCCCAAACCCTCTCTAACATAATCACATTAACTAGCACCATACTTAAAAGTAGACCCCCTTCTCATATGATTTAGACTCTAAGAAAACGTTTAGTCAAAGAACATAAACAAATAAACAGAGTTCAGGAAACAACTAATAAAAAACCATCATCCTAAGCTACCTAAAGCAAGCGTGAAAACATGAACACTCTATAATAAAGAGAACCTAACACAAAGAAGTGAACCCACATAATCAAGAGCCGAAACAACAGATCTATACAATCACTTTGGCCAACTAATCACAAAGAACGTCCAACATAACATTAACTCTCTGAAGAACAGAAGGAAAGTGAAAATCGAAATCTTGGAACATCAAAATCTCTACCTATCTAGAATCATCGACATCCTATATCCAAAAGATATAACACATAAATTAACAAATTCAAGCAGCTTAGATATCAAACAAAGAAACTCATCCAAAGATAATTGCTTAAAAACCAGTGAAAGAATTACTGCAAGATTGTTAGCAAATAGAACTGATACCAAAACAATTACTAGCACACCCCACATGCTATCAAATCACAATATTGATACCGACCAAATACTGATAAAGGCATGAAATCTGATGACCTTCTAAACCTCTTCGAAAACTAATTCATATATATAGTAGAGCAGAGAAGAGCTTTCACTCTCACAGACATTTTAGTTAATGAGAAAGACTAAAACCATTTGGAAAACTAAATTTAAGGCCGTGTTAGTAATATAAGTTAAAGCAAATAGCAAGCAGCAAACATGCATTCCTTCAGAGAAAAATTCAACCTGCACGCGTTAGACTATATAAAAACACAAAACAAGTAGTAAAATTTAAATGACAGAAACCACCATATAAGGTAAAATCCTCCCATAGTTCATGTTGTCCATACCTGAAAAAAAAAACCAATGTTAGATTTGGTTGAAATAATGAAGTCAACCATCTACTATGTAAGAAAAAGGCGATAAGGCGCAATGTAATCAGAAGAAGAAAATAGCTTCAGCGAGTCTTTACATTCGCTTTAAAAAAAGAAGGATCAAGAAGAAACCATTTTCAATTGGGAAATGAACAGAACATGGCAGAGCTTGCACTCTCGACTCCATGGTGGCAACAAGAAGTACTTCACATATAAACAGAAAAAAAAAAAAATCACGAAGCCAAAAAAAATATTAAAGGAATCAAACCAATATTTATGTCACTCCAGCTGTAAACTTCAACAAATAGAATACGTAGATAGGAATAGAAGATATTTATTGGGCCAGCTTCCTCTCTTTTCATCCAAGACACAACATGAAGAAGTGTTGATAAAGCTTCAGCTCCTGCAGTTAAAGCAAAGAGCTTCTAAGTCAACAGATCAAAAACACGGGACACTAGTAGCTGTGATTTGCTAAACATGTCATAGTAAAAAAGCAATAGCAAAATCCAGTTTCTAATTAGATTTACGTTCTGTTCCGAAGCTGAAAAGCAGTAAGCACAACCATTTTCCAACCTTAACCATTTTATTTGATGGCAATTCAAAGGTTTGGATAAGTTCGATAAATCCATGACAGGGGACTTCATCGAACATGAGATCCATAGCCTTTTTTCTTCACGGAAGTTCATGAAATGTCAATAGCTTCATATTTGTATCAGAAAGAAACATAAAAAAAATGAGTTTATACCTTCCAGAAAAAATTAAAAGAAATACCTTAAGGACCACCATATGTTGAAAAAGAGCAACAAATTTTGGAGGTTCTTTACCCTCAAATATATGGGCCTGCAAGAAGATCAAGTTATTAAATAATCTTTCAGTGCTAGTGGCTATTACTTACAATAACAAAAGAAGGTACGTGCAGTGCTCTTCCCTTCAATGAATATGTAATTGTGCTCGCTAGACGAACTGATGTTTCTTGATCCTCCTAAAGTCGGAGGAAAACAAAAGTTAGGTGGCTAAATTCAACATGTTCAAATATATACATAAATCCATAAACTAAATAGATGAAATCCATCACAATATGTAATCAAACTTTGAGGGCTACCTCAAAAGTCCAAAGGCAACTAATCATAACAATAAAATACGATACTAACAGCATAGTCTGCTAACAAAATCAATGAGATATACCTTAAGAAAGAAGTAGCCAAACCCTTAAATACCTGATTAGAAATGGTTTGGAGTCCTCACAACCCTTTTATATCAGAAAGGTTATAAAATGGTACCATAATAGAGCCTGAACAAAAACTAACTTATTTAGTTTTTTTTTTTAATGAGAAAATAAAAGCCAATAAAAAGAAGTATTGATCAATCAGGTACACTCAGGAAAGGAAAATTACAAAAGGATATTGATTCGGCCAACTCCAAGACACGACAATTATTGATCAATCAGTTACCGAAAACCTGTTAAAAGAAACAATAATGAAATTAGAGAAGTGATAAAGGTGAAAGGAACACAAACTAATTCAGTAAAAAGTGTTCAAAAAGAACTTATTTGAATGTGTTAACCAAGTGACCCACGTCAAAGTACTTCTTCCTGTTGTCAAATGAATTTCAGCTCATGTTGCAACCTAATAAATATACAGTAGTAGTATTGAATATTCAAAGGGAGGAAAACTCTACAGAAAAGCTACACTTACCTGGCGAATGAATAAATTTCAGACGCCATGAATTTGTTCAGGTTGAATAGTCTATTTAAAACATTTCCAGAAAGTTTAGATGCTTTCAGATCCCGGAGTGAGATGCAGTTCTCCTTCTGCAGAGTCATTCAACAAATTGACGTTTCGAATAAGCAAAAAAAAAAACCGAACAGCCAGGAATATGGAAACGAGCAACAGATCAGTACCCGGACGTATATCTTAGTTTTAATACGGGTATTCTATGTTCATGAATTAATGGTTAGTGAATCCAAAATCTCAGTTAGACATTTTGTTTCATCAAGAAGGCCATATATACCACAATTAGACTCAGTCACGAAGCAATTAAACACAAGCTAGTCAGGTGCATACTTGATACTACCACAATAGTAAGATGATCCACTACTCATATTACATACCAGAGCTGCTCCGAAGGTGTCATATGATCCTGGAAGCCAAATCCTTTCAGGCTTTCTGTATGTCTCACATTGAAAATAAACTAGCACAAGAAAGATAAAGAACGAGGGTGTGAGAGCACATGTCCAGATCCAATGAGTAACTAACAAGGAGGGCAGATCAAAATTAGGATAAGTAATAATGTTGAACCTGGGTTCAATGATAATAAACATTAGGAAAGTGAACACTAAATTCATTGTTGCTGAAAAATGGAAGAGCTTAGACTGTTCATATAGAGATGATGAAAGCAAAAATGATACATTGTAGGGAAATTGGACTGTAGGATGCAGCAATGCATCCATTTTATAGATACCAAATCTAGTCATGAAATTATGAGAATTAAATTAAATTCAATGCATTACCTGAATGTGAACGTTGAATGCTTCTTTTGGTTAAGTTCCCTCATGTTCAAATCCTAAAATAAACGGAATAAATCCTGAATCATGTGAAATATAAAATCTTTAATCTACTCTTGCATCTGATAACCAAAAAGTTTGATATACTACTCTTAAATAGATGCATATTTTAGCAACTTTGATTACCTCTCGTTTTGTACTTCAGGGTTCTTGGTAAGTAGGCATTGGCACACCAGAATCCTCTGTCTTTCTTGTAAGCGTTTTGCAGTGTTCTTGTTACCCGTCCAACTTTTCCGTCACCAATCACACGCCCATCGATTTTTACAACCTGTAACCAAAGAAGAGGAGATTTTTTATGCTCAAAGACTTACTGTTTTCATATGGTTATATAAGATCCTTTGAAGATGTTATCAAGAACTTTAGCTATAGGGTACATTTTTTCAAAGATTCAGCTGCAGAACCTGAAAAATGTGATTTGTGGAAATTTTCTTCGACTCTTCTCCCATAATGATAGTAAATCACTGGCACTGATAGATACCAAAAGCAATTCTAGTAATTGCGGTACCTTGGTGTGCACATGAAGAAGGGTTTGGCATTGCTGATTCAGATCTTGGAAAACTGAGATGCCAACCTCTTCTGTCTCCAGCATTAGTCTTCTAATCTCCCTGACTCTGTCTCTTGATTGGTCAAGCCTCTTCACTGACATTGCCAATCTTCCTCTTTGATCAGCAGATACCTGGAACGAGGACAATAATGTCAATCGCAAAAACGCCTCTGCCATCTAAAAAATTGTGCCAAGATGACAAATAAAGAAGGGTCCCTCAGGACACATAAGCTTACCTTCGCCACTCTGGATTCCATCAATTCGCCACGGACGAGACTCGTTTGAAGTCCTTTTTCAATTGGTTCAGATCAATTTACGCTCGTTTGAATTCCATCAATTTACGATCTTTTAGTTTAGAAAGACATACAGCTTTAGCACTTGGCTGCAAACTTCTAGCCTCAAGATCCATTTTCCAGATCTATAAAACAAAACACAGAAGCATATATTGAGTTTTAAAACTAGAACAGAATGGTATAAACATTAAGCAAGTTGATTGTAAATACCAAGACATCAGCTTCTTCTAATGATGACTTGATCACAGTAATCTTCCACTTCTTCTCCCCTGTAAAAGCTCTGGTTCTATGGCACCACAAAATGTAGCAACTTCGAGCATGTCTATGCACTATAACATCAAGAAAGACAGTTGTAAAGATAGACTGAGAAACAAATGAAAAACCAACTTAATAAACCTCTGCAGCTACATAATTAGGTTCTCATCTTCAGTCTTGATCCAATAGTTGATTCGTTTCAAACAGAGCTTGCAACAAGGAGTAACTCACAAAGAAAAAGGAGACGAATCAATCCCAATTCAGAAGTAAAAAAAAAAGTATAATGGAGTCAAATCATCTACGTAAGATATCATTTACACAAGTAAATAAAAGTAACTTATGAAATCAAATATTAGAAAATAAATAAACAACTAATACAAAACCATCCTCCTAAGCGACCTAAAGCAAGAGGTCAAAAGTCTTGATAACTGATAAGAAAACATTGGATAATTTGTCTAAATTCTCACCTGAAAATTTTCTGATACTTGAATAAGTGCAACTAATTCCGTCTGATGAACCTTTCTCTGTCAATCTATTTTTGTAACTAGAACTCAAACCACCCTAAAAGTTATTGTAGCATCAAACAACTGTATAAATAAAAAGTACAGGGAGAGAGGAACATTGGACCTCTTTTCTTTGTGCACTCTTTGATCTGTACTTTGCTTCTCTCTCGGCTATTCTGAAACAGTCAACGTTAACCACCAATTCTATCTCTTCAGCCATCAACTGAAACAAGAGAATGAAAATTAAGAAAACGGGACAAAGAAAGAAGAACAGTACCGCTTCAACTTGTAGTGCCTTATTATTGTGAACTCTAGTTCCAGATACTTGAATAAGTGCAATTGATTCCGTCTGATTAACCTTTCTCTGTCATTCTATTTTTGTAACCAGAACTCAAATCACCCTAAAAGTTAAAGTAACTATATCAATTACGAATAGATTTTCTTGCGGCAACAATCAAAGAAATACCTTAAGGACAACCATATGTTGAAAAGTGCAACAAATTGTGGAGGTTCTTTACCCTCAAATATAGGAGCCTGCAAGAAGATCAAGTTATTCAACAATCTTTCAGTGCTAGTGGCTATTACTCACAATAACAAAACAAGGTACATGCTAACAAAATCAATGACATAAACCTTAAGAAAGAAGTAGCCAAACCACTAACACACCCGACTAAAAATGGTTGTGAGAAAATGAGAAAGTAAAAGTCAATTAAGAAGTATTGATCAATCAGGTATACTCAGAAAAGGAAACATTACGAAAGGATATTAATTCGGGCAACTCCAAGACACAGCATAAAGAAGTATTGATCAATCAGGTATAAAGAAAACCTGTTAAAAAGAAACAATAATGAACAATTGCAGAGACGTGATAAAGGTGAAAGGAACACAAACTAATTCAGTAAAAAGGATTCAAGGAACTTATTTGAATGCATTAACCAAGTGACCCATGTCAAAGTACTTCTTCCTGTTGTCAAATGAATTTCAGCTCATGTTGCAACCAAATAAATATTCAGTAGTAATAAGTTTCAACAGCTATTAAACCAAGTATTGAATATCCAAAGGGAGGAAAACTCTATAGAAAAGCTACACTTACTTGGCGAATGAGAAAAGGGTCATGTACTGCGAACCCTCAGTTTGGGTATTGATGTTCCATCATAACCTGGACAAAGACGTATTAATAGTTGGCAGTGAAAGAGTATCCACACTTTATGTAAAACTAAAAAGTGAATATAACAGACATTTAAATCTACTGATTATGTTGATAGTGTCTCTACATGTAACATCCTTATTTATTGGCTTGAGTATCCTTTTAGCTTATCCTGCATCACACAAATCATGAGAAATATGAGATTCTGTAAAGCTAGAATTTACATGTCATCATCAAAATCATACCAACTAAAGGTATATATACGAAAGAGGTTCAAGATTATGCTGCAACAGCTGTTCTCCGTTATAAGATTTCTCCATTGACCAATGAAAATAGTGTCTCATTCTCCATCTTCAAGAATTGTGGCCAGCTTGTTCACTCTTTTATGAGCTTGGTCCTTCTCCCTACTAAGACAACAATCTAGAAAAGAAACCTGATTAGGGAGACACTACAGCAGAACTTTCCAAAGAGACCGTCTGCTTCTCTTTCGGATTTAAGAAGCATCACCATAACTATATCCAAGAATCTTCTTTGAAGCCCCTAATAAGAAACAAAAAAAGATATATAATTAGCGTCCCTAAACAAGCAAGGATACGAATTTTAATCAAGAGGATGGATACTGGAAACTTTCCAGAATCAGAGAAACAAAAGCTTCCACTTTCAGGGTTTTACTTCAAATCCTTGATTTTGTAATCAATCGAATCTTCAATTGATGATATCCTCTTCGAAAATCGGCAATTTCACTCCCCGCGAATTGACCTAAAACTCAATTCCAAAGACTCTCTAAAAAATTAATCAAATCTCAATAACCTTTAGCCGCCGAATATCTAGAGAAGAATCACGAGTATTGTTACCGTGGAATTCTTTGTAATTCGGCTCCTCCACCAATCTAGCATCTCCGACGAACACGGTCGAGACTTTCTCCTTCTTCATCTTCTTCTTCCTCAGGATATCATCCATTCTCCTTCAGAAAATCGTCTGTTTTCTCCAACATCGCCTCCTACTCCACTAGATCTTTCTCCAACGACTTCGTTTCATTCCCCTTCGCTGAGATCGGCGACAACGGTGGCTCCACGATCTAACTTTTCCACTGCTTCTCAACTTCTTCGTCGGAGTCGGAGATGTTAGAATTTGGTAGAGCCTCTGAGAGCCCAACGGTCAAATTTCGATATCCAAACTGATATTTTTGTGAATTTAAAAAGACTCTTGGTCTCCAAGGCTTACGCGAGTTATATATTTCGATTGTGTTTTGATTTGACCGTTGAAGAGTGTTTCTTCAATTAAACCATTTACCAAACCAATTTCTAAACTTATTCTTTTGGTTCACAGTAAACCGAGTCCATCAAAACTTAAACCGTTATAGTTTAAATTTGGTTTGGTTTAATTGAAGGACAGATGTCATTTTATTATTTGATAGTTTAACCAATTAAACGTCTTGATCCATCACAAAGTTTATAATTACAATTCGTCAACTACAATTTACTTCGCCAATGGTGTTCTTCCATGAGAGGAATCACTAGAAAAAAAAAATCAGAATGACCATTTCCCAAGATAATTATCTAATTTACCGGTGTAATCTACCGTAAATTCTCAACTTTTGAGAAGAAAGTAGATTTTTGTAGCTTAGTTTGGAGTTGCTTCAAGTGACGTTATTCAGTAGTATTGGAGTTGCATATGCGTTTGATCACATTTCCACTTTTGGTTTAACGCTATTCACGAACATGTAAGTTCTAAGTACAGTTTAACAATAATCTATTGCAAATGAGAATGTCTTAGTTTGTGGATCTAATTGGTAATTTTCTACTGCGCATGTTTTACTTTTATTGGATGTGGTATGATATATGTCCCCATTTGGTGAAGTATTATTTGGTTATTCTCGGTGCTATCATTTCTTGGACTATTCTATAGCCTTTTGCAGGCCCGGCTCTTGGGGTGTGTTGAGTGTGCCGAAGCACAAAGTCTTATTTTTAATTTTACTAGGTGAATAACCGCTCTACGAACGGGTTTTTTTAATTTTTATTTTAAATTAATGTTGAATATTTTTATTGATCAATTTTGTTTTATTAATGTTATAAATATTCACTTTTTGTCCATTGTAGTTCCTATTTTATAATTTATTTTATCGATAAAAATAAATTATAAACCTATCTCCGCCGTAATAAACTAGGAGTGGCAAAAAAATCTTATCCAAAAAATTAAACCAAACCATTGTTATATGATTCGTTTTGGTTTTGGTTTCTTCCAAAAACCCGTTCGGCTACAATTATTAAAAATGTTATGGTTTCGGTTCGGTTTGGTTTAAAACCATTCCATTTTTGTTTTAAATTTTATTATTATAATAACATTTATTTGGTTCGCTTTTAATTATTTTTGCAAAAAGCTTCTTGGTAATATAAGTTAGATGAATAACTTTTCTCAATCTAATAATATTTTTAAGCATGTTTATATCAATACATGCATATTGGAGAAACGAAAAATCAAACTCTTTGAGCGATGATATATTTCATAATAATATTAAGTTTAATATTTAATTGGTAAACTATGTTAAATTTTAAAGATTTTTTGCAAAACATAGGATTCGAACCCGAACATCTTAGTCTTTAAACGAGGTGGATATATTTATAGATTAAACTGAAAATGTTCCTATTTTTGTTGGAAAAAAATATGTAAACATAAGTAAAAAAAATGTTTTTATATATAAAAGAATAGAATTTGTTAAAATATTTGTAAAAAGAAGAAAAATTTTCTTATCCTATCAAAAAATCTTAGTACATAAAGTTGGATTTTCAAAGTTGTTGTCCATTTTTTAAAATACCCATTTTTATGTACAAAATGACTAAATTACCCTTTTTTAATAAAAGATATCACAAATATATAAGGAAAACATGAGAATGTGCACACATCAAAATTACAAATTTGATTTTGTAAAAAAATTTCCCGCCAAAAAATTTTCCCGCCAAAAATTTTTTTTTGCGGGAAAAGTGATTCCGCAATTTTTTTGGCGTTAAATTTTTGGCGGGAAAAATTTACAAGATATTTTAAAGGTTTTTACAGAGTATTTATAAGGTTTTACAATGTATTTTAAAAGGTTTTACAACGTATTTATAAGGTATTTATAAGATATTATAAGATTTTACAAGCTATTTTATAAGGTTTTACAAGTTTTTTATAAGGTTTTACAAGTTATAAATAAGTTATAAAACCTTATAAGTACCTTGTAAAACCTTTTAAAATATATTGTAAAACCTTACAAAACACTTGTAAATACTCTGTAAAACCTTTAAAATACCTTGTAAATTTTTCCCGCCAAAAAAATTACGGAATCACTTTTCCCGAAAAAAAAAAATTTGGCGGAAAAATTGCGGGATCACGTTTCCCGCCAAAAATTTGCGGGATTACTTTTCCCGCAAAAAAATATATTGTATTTTGTGGACCTAATTTTGTTTCAAATAAGGGTAAAATGGTCACTAAAAATTAAAAGAGGGCAAACTTAAAAATGGACTCTCAAAAGGGGTATTTTTGAAAAGGGGTATCTCAAAAGGGGCATTTTTAACAATTTCTCATTTCTTAATATATTAAAAATTAAATTAGATAAGTTCTTAACCTTATCGGAAAATGAAAATATATAAAATATGTGAAAAAATTATTTATATATTCAAATTTGTTTTATAAATATATTAAACTATTAATGTAACTCTGTTGAATTTGTTTTGTTAATTTATTCAAAAATAAGTAACATATCCTTATTATATCAAAAAAATGTTAATATATTAAACTATTAACCCCATTTTATTAATTTGTTATTGCTAATAAATTCACAAAAAAAAGAAATTAATTTTTTTAATCGATTGAAAAAATAAAATACAATTTTTTAATGTTATTAGAAAGGTTTAACATTTTGACCAATGTCTGACATGTGGCAAACTATCAACCTAATTCTGTCATTTTTGTTGTTGTTAATATATTCAAAAAAAAAGAGTTAAATATATTTATCCTATCGGAAAAAAAGGAAAAAAAAAATTCTTAATGTTATTATATGAGGTTTTAATATTCTCAGCATAGCGTTACATGTGGCAAGACTGTTATTCACGAAATCAAGACACGTTTTAATTAACTAATTATATTTTAATACGTATTTTAATATATATTTTCAGTCTTTTAACTTTAATATGTCTATCGCTTTCTTGAAAACAGACAAAACAAATTATAAGTAAAGCACATATCAACATAATATCAATATACGTGTCAATATTAGAAAGAAAATAAAAAAGAGAAATATTAGTTTAGAATAAGGATAACTAAAAATCAATGTAATTCATAACATAATGATTTCTAAATAGAAACCCTTTTAAATATGTTGTTTTCTATACATTTTTTGAATTTTTTTCTTCTCTTTCTTTTTTGTTGTTTTCCAAGTGTAAAATATAGATGTCAACATAAAACGTCAAAATTCATAATTGTTGTTATTTTTTGTAGATGAAATGTGAAATCGATTAATGGTAACAGAAAATTTACAGAGAGTTTGAGATAATATACAAAAAACAAAACCATAAAAGGCAAAATAGAGCAAGGACTAGGGAAAGAGAGCATGGTAGTGACTAACGTAGAGGTCTCGTCAAGTACCAAGCCTGAAGCAACCCTTTAAGCTTTGTGTTTTCATAGTAACGCAATGACATGATTCAGGAGCGAATGGTTTTCTCGATCACAGTTGCAAGCTGCATATGAGTCCGATATTTCTTGTTGTGCTCCCTCTTAGTCCGCTCTCTCCAAAGGTAATATAACATAGCTTGAAAAGCTAGTTGGATCAGAATGTAGTGGTTCCTGTCATAGGACTTAAAGATCAAGCTGCAAGAGCCTCACTCCGGTCTGGGTCCGCAACAGGCTGCAAAAAATTTCCTGAGATCTCCAACCAAACCATGTAAGAGTAGAGGTATGCAAAGAAGAGGTGGTCTCTAGTTTCATCAGGCTCACCACAAAACAAGAAGCACTCTTCAATTCCCCCACCGTCTAGTCCGAGTTCTAAAGCCACTCTCTATTTTTCTGAAAAAAACTTTAGATACAGTTTATCATTATTAGATTTTGTAATAAATTTGAATAATGAATATTTACTAACTAAAGCCACTCTCTATTTTTTTTTGAAAAAAACTTTTGATACTATTTTCCTTCAATAAATTTTTAATTTAAATTTTTTTATAAAATTATATAACCCGCCCATCGGATGTGTCTTAATCTAATATAGTTATAAGTTATAATTGTATAAACATAAATATATAGTATACATAATTATAATTTCTCGATTAGTATATATAGTTATAAATTATATTGTTATTTTAATTAGTTTGGGTTATATTGTATAGAACCGGGCCAAATGGCCCAGATCCAGAATTAGCAACTCTGAATTGAGAATTCCGATAGATTAGGAATATCTTGAAATTCCATCAGTCTGAAAATCATCTTATTCAACATTAGCCGTTCCAAATGCTAATTGCTCTATTCATAAATATAATCATACATACCATTTATACTTCAAAATGCATAATGTGAATATCTAAATGGTAGAGATAATGTGTATGTGACTGATATTTTCCGATATACAATAATACAGCTTGGAGATTATGTCAAGCTCTCTCTCTTCTCTCTTTAACGAGAGAGGAATGGCTCGTTCTAGAGATTGGTAGCAGAATATACCGGTGTGGTTTCGAGTAGCTCCTCAAATTTCTTGAGTATGTCTTTTAGAGCATCCATAAACTCCTCTTTTGTAGAAGCATCAGCGGTTTCTTTCTCTTTGTTATTCAAAAGAGAAAATATGGTCTCATAGAGAAGAGCCACTTGTTCGTTATCTGAAGATAACGGAGGCAATCCCAACTCTTTTCCATTCTTTATTATCAAAGTCTTTACCCATCCTTGGCTGTCTTTTCCGTTCGACTCTTCCAAAATCGTTTTCTCTACAAGACACTTGAGTTTCTTCTCGTCTGCCAGAATCTGAGAAATATTATTGATCGAGTTGGTCAAAGATCCATGCTTTAATCTTAAGAACAAAATCCAAACATACGTTGATACTGCATATACCTTAAGCAAAAGAGAGTGGACTAACCTTATGAATCCTTGATCCAGTGAAAATCTCAACGTTCTGGACAATGGTTATTGGTTTCTCATGAAGGACATCTGCTATATCTTGTAGAACTGGTTGCAATAGTTCTGCAAATTGTGCTTGTCCAAGCTCTTCATCACCATCAGCATCATGCTTCTTAACAATGTCATCTAACATGGGAAATTCTGTTCCAAACAATCCCGACTATGTTAAAACACATTATCCAAAGGCAACAGAACTAATGGAGAATATTGAACCGTAAACAGAAACACATGACATAATATACAAGATTGATGCTATACTGAAACTATGTTAACTGCTAGAAAAATGTCTTGATCCATGATCTCTCGCGCAACGGGTACAATTTTGTGACTATGAACAAGATTGTAACTTGTAGAATGCAAACTAAAACACAGCAAAGAAAGAAGAAACAGAACCTGAGAGTGGAGGAACACCCATTTCAACACCCATATGCACAAGAGCTTTTCGTATCTCGCTTTTACAAAGCTTTCCTTTATCTTCTTCATCCAAATCAGTGAACAAATTCTCTGCCAACATTGCAAAATCATCTTCATCCTCCAAAAACATCTTCAACATAGTCCCATCAAGAATCGACACCACAATCGGAGTATCTATATAATCACATAAACAAAGTATCGTCATCGATCAATCCATAAACAAACCTATGGTTTCGTTCTTTGAAACAAAAAAAATCAAAATCACACACTGATCCATCAATCTGAAGCGATTTTACGGTACCTTTAAGAGCATCGGCAACGGCGGAGAAGAAAACTCCGAGTTTCTCAGAAGCTTGTTGTTGATTGAACTCTGTACGTCGGAAATCGACGTCATCTCCATCGGAAACACGAGAAATCGCTGCGTTTTTGAGATGTGGCGGTAGTGAGAGTCCCGAGAGAGATTGAGAAACCTTAGATTCAGAGATTTCGAGAAGCTGAGCTCCGGTGACGCCGTGTTGGAGTTCCGGTAGGTTGAGATCGATGGATCTAAGAAGATCACCGTCGAAGATCGTTAATACCGCCGGGTTCGACATTGGAGAGATTGAGAGAAAAATCTGAGAGAGTTGAAGTAACGTAGAAAGACCGTTTTGGAAAGTTTTTCGATTTCTTTTCAGTCAACGTAAAACGCTGACTTGGTACAACCAATCTCTTATTATATAAATTATAGTTTTGAAAGTTAGTAATTGATATGATTGCGACACGTATCAAATATTTTGAGAAGATTTTGATACATATAAACAATTATAATTAATTAAATTTTGATATTATCTTAACATAAATATAAAAAATTCTAAATCTAAAATATATACTTAGATTTAAAGAAAAGGTAAAGAAATAATTTTCTTTAATTGTCGATTTAAAAAAAAATGAAAAATCAAATATAACTAAATAAATCTTTTTTCAAGTAGAAATACACAAATTAAATTTACCAAAGTTTCATGTGTCAGTCGACGGGGAAAACACATTTTTAACCATCAAAGTGTTACTAGATAGCACTTTAAACGTCGAAAGAATTTCAGTAATACTATAAACCACCAAGATAATTTTACTAACACTTTAAGATTCCAAACTAACTTTTCTGTTTGTTCCACCATAAAAAATGATGGAAAATTTAATTTCTATTTGTTTAGTAATTTAATTAATTTTATTATTTATCCAGTGATACTTTGAGAGTTACAAATGTGAATTTCCCGTTAGTCAACTACTCATCTTAAAAGATAAGAAAAACATTAAAAAAAAAAAGTAAACTAATTTTTTTAGATGTAAATTTAGAAAAGAAAAAGAAAGTTAAATATGATTTAAAAAAAAACTTTCATTTGTATTGTCACACCCGTCTTCCTCAACATTGAGACGGCATGCGTTCACCTTACTTATTGTTTCCTCTATTCCACTTTCTTAATTCATCATGACATATTTTTCCAAAATTCCTTTCTTTTACTTAAAACTCAATATAAACTTGTCTAAGAATAAACTCAAATAGTTGAAAATCGTCGAATAAAACATTAATTAAAAACAAGTTTAGAAAGTATAAGAAAATAACGATTAAAGCAACTAAACCCGAGGTTCCCGAAATACACCACAAGCGAGACGTACTTGCGCGACTACTTACGATTCTCACCTTGACCTGGAGAAAAAGGAGAAAAAAGAGTGAGTAAAGAATTACTCAGTGACAGGATCCTTTCTGCCTACTGGAAAGACGAGACACGAAACTATCTTTACACAACAATCAACAATCATATAGAAAGAGATACGATTTTTTTTACTAAGAAAAACAGAATTATGACACAACTATTTTATGTGCATAATTATCAAGAAAAAAAAAACTATTTTGTGTGCATATATTAGTTTACGAAAGACTGTTTGGTCGAAATGAATGTTAGAAAAAGTAATTTATTTGGTTTACAAAAAAAAAAAAAAAAAAGTAATTTATTTCTATTTTGGATTACAATCGGTAAATGAAATAAAAATTAATTATGCGTTTATTTAATTTTGTCATGTTGGAAATTTTGTAGGAAGCAACGATTAAAAAGGTTACGTTAAATCCAACAAAACATCTATATATATATAATGAAAGAGTTGTCTTTCCATCTAGAGGGTCCACATCATCATCCAAGTCATCATAATTTAATTTTATGTGGGCTCCACATAATTGATTTATTAAAAATAAACATTAAAACTAAAATTAATTCACATATTTTGTAATTTATATTATTATATTTCAATAAACAAAAACAATAATTTACAAAAGAATAAATTAAATATTAAGAAAACGAAAAAAATAAATTTATAACACAAAATATGAAATTTTTGAATAGAGATTGTATAAATATAAAATTAGATAATTGTATTTTAACGTTGGTTTGGTTGTTACTTGCTAAACAATACACAGCTTTATCCTTAACACATACGTGAAGCAAAGTTCAATTGTGACGAGAGGTATGAATCCAATTTCTTTTTGTAAATTTTAGGGCTTGTATCTCCTCAGAAAATATGAAGAGCTAGAGGCGAGATAGAGCAGAAGATAGAAGAATTCAAATCTAACATTGTACAATCTCTAGATATAGCTTAATCTTTCAATTTGGATGATTAGATTGATTTGGTTACTTGTTGATTTGTTTTTCTCCTAATAGTTGATTACTTTAGTATTTAAAGTCTGATAGAAGTTAGTCTAAGGTTTGAGATTAGGATGCAAATTGATTCACCTTTTGTGAATGGTAGATTAGATTGTTAAGAAGGTTGATATGCTAATTTTAGTTGGTTCATGGCCATGGGGTACTGATTTAAGAGTGTACGTTTTTTCTCACACTTTCGCTTGTGGTAAAAGTATCTAACATATACTAGTAAAGCAAAAGATGGATTGCAGTCAAGAAGCCAATAACCTAAAGCTGCCTTCTATTCGATTGTTTTCAAAAAAGCAGGAGGTCCTATGAAGGCAAAACATCCCATATATGCCTTGTATACAAGAGGAGAGCTGTTTTACGCACAGAAAACAAGAACAATGTGGATCTTGTGTTTGAGAAAAATGAGAGAAGAAATCAAGAATCAGCCTTGTTGGGTTTTGTAGGGTCAACATTTTCATCCTCCGTCTCGCAGAGAGAATTATGATTTTGTGTAGTCTCTTAATTGTAATGGACTTTGGTGAGTAAAGAGGACAAATTTTCACTTCTTATAATGCTATCTATAAGTTAAGATGGAAACTACTGATTCAATATGAGAGTAACTATGTACATTACTAGGGAATTAAAAAAAAAATAATAATAAGGGATCAATTTTGATATACGGCTTAAATCATATTGTTGAAAAATAAATCTGAAGTAGAAGAGTTTTGTGGGTGTCTCTGTCTAGGATCGTTGAATAGACTAGGAGTTTTGCATGGTTGGCTGCTTCTTATGATCCACCACTTGTTCTTCTTTATGCTTCCTATTCTCTTGATAACTACTTTTCGTTAGCTTTCTTTCTCTTCTCTGTATTTGTTCCATAACTTGTTCTGTCCTTACAATTGATTTCAATGTTTAGTGATGACCGTGTTTTAGAATAGCTCTTTCTGTTTGCGAATGAAGTCAGACAATAATCAAGATTCCTTAGAAATGCATGATAATGCATATTCATGTCATAGTGATAAACCATAAGCTTTAGTGTGAGGAGATGATATCTGATACGGAATGTTTTGCCACACGTATATGTGACCAAGATACGAGAATCATTATATTCCAAGACCAAAGGAAATGAATCATTCCGGTAACGAATCTCCCCTCCGTCGAATTCGCCGGTTACATTCCGCTCAAGCCTTGCGTCGGAGATGGGCTTTCATTTTTTTTTTAATGATAAGCTTCAGCCCATAAAGCCTAACCTCAAAAAGGACAAGGGTTTTGAGCATGTGTGTTGCCATATTTGTGTACAAGCGTAAACATCTCCCTCTTCATTTAGACCCGTAACCTAAGCCGCCAAGGGAGGGAGAGAAGAGAATTGTCTTGACGCAAAGTCACCATCACCGAAATCACTCCGTCTATCACCGGAGTCGTGATCGTTTTCACCGGCTTCTTGGGTAAGGAATCCTAACGCTAGTTTTTCTCTTCCTCTTAGTGGTCTCTATCTCTGCCCTGTAGATTTGTGGTTTAAGTTTCAAGGTTTCTGATTTTTAGTGAAAGAGAGGAAGGAGATAACAGTTTAAGTAGAGGTTTTGGAGACTTATTTCCCGTCAAATCCGCAGGAACTAGATCAAGATTTTGACGTCACTAGATACATCTCGCTGCAAGGAAGCCATAGCAACTGACAGATTGACAAACGGAGGTATACTCCATTCGCTATTCATCTCGCAAGTTGATGAAGAATCACTGGTTATGATTCCAGGAAAAACTGTTTTTCACATAAAATTCCAGGTTAAAGTTGGGGTTTTGGGAGAGAATTCCGGTCAAATCTGAGCGTTCTAGGTAATATCAACGGTGGTTATTAATAGAGGAGGTGTCAGGGAAGTCGCCTAAGCCGTCAAAGTCGCTGGAAAAGGTACATCCTAACCACCATGACGTTTGCTTGATGCGCAAGAAACATATGAAACTGGTTTGATTTGATTTACTCTCCCTGTGCAAACTCTTCAATTTGGTAAAGGAAGCAGAGGCTCGTCGGAGGTACGCACTAACCTACTCTCTTATTATTTTTTATTTTTTTAATGATTCAGCTCATTTATTTAACCTACGAAAATAAATGTTAACATTAGTAGTTAACTAAATTAAAAACAATTTAGTTGCAAATGAAATCATAATAATCTTCTTGTAATAAAATTAGACTTAGGCTGCCAACCTCCGTAGAAGTCTATCTCCATTACATACAGAATTCGAGGCTCTTCTCTGGGCGATGAAGTGTATGATTGGTGCAGATAATCAAGAGGTAGAGTTCCTTACAGACTGTTCTGATCTGGTGAAGATGGTGTCTTCTCCAACCGAATGGCCGGCGTTTTCAGTGTACTTGGAGGAATTTCAGAGCGACAAGGAAGAATTCTCATCCTTCTCTTTATCTTTAATTTCTCGTAATGCTAATGTAAAAGCGGATAATCTAGCACGAAAGATTCGTGCAGAACCGCTACATATCACATATGTAAACAACATTCCCCAGGAATGGCTCTTTTGAGCTATAATTAATTTCGGATGACAAAATAAAAAATAAAATTAGACTTAGGATTATGTTTCTGAATATATAACCAACATCTTTTGCATATAACTGAAATAAAGATGAGCTTTTGGAAACAAACTTGAATCAGAAAGAAGATCCTGAAGGTTCCTCCGATGAGGAAGAAGTTGCGTCTCTTGCACCATGAAAATTATAAAGCTTAAAATTTATTCAACAATACAGTAGTTGCAAGGATATATAAAGTATGCACAGTTTGGTGAGGTCTATTAAAAAGAACGCAACAAAAATTAGAAAGAAAAAAAAGAAAAAACAAGTAATTGAAATAAACCTAATCAAGAACATGTCTATTGATATCTCGAATAAGAGAATGATAATCACCAAGGAAGAACTAAAGAAAACAAAACAACATATTCTACATGTAATAAGGCAGCGCTTTTCGCTGAC